AAAGTCATATGTTTTGTTGTTATTAGTGTGTGAAAAGAACAGAGAAAACTGGCGTCTGCACTAATAATTGTACGTAGAACTTTAATCTAAAGATAATGCTTTTCCATGTGTTTGTCTGACATTTGTCATAAATGTAATTTTTCAGTTATTGAAAAAATCTGACTGTATTTTCATACTTTTATATAATATTATAGATAGCAATTATATCGAACAAGAAAGCGTGCACAATGTCCCTTGAATTTTTATGGGCTACAATGCAAGACTTTCTTTTCAAAGCACCATTGAAACAATGAGCCTTTTTTTTCTGTTACGTAAGAACTGATCTATGTTCCCTGAAGATTTACTGTTAATCCTTCTTTGGTTTCTCACAATGAATAGTTTAATACATGTGATAAATCGTCATAACCGTCGTGGACGCTTTCAGAGAGCCTTTCAGTTACTCCTTGTCACGTGACTATTATACGTTGGTTTTGCAAAAAAAAAAAAAAAAAAAAAAAAAAAAAAAAAAAAAAAATGAAATATAACAAAGGAAAACATTACTAGGCATTACTAAACAAATTAATTTGAAATTCATTATGGGACAAAAAAAAAAAAAAAAAAAAAAAAAAAAAAAAAAAAAACAGCCTTATGTAAACCTGTTCTTTTCCCAAATATTCATTCCATCGATTTTCAAATCTGTCAATAAGCAATCCTCTTTATGCATCCTAAGCCACTAATTACACACCTACCAGGAAGTATAGCATGGATTTCGATATCATTTTGACTAAAAATGCGCTTAGCTATACATCAGGGGAAAAGAATAAAACATTACGTCATCCTTGTATGGTTATTTTAATCAATTTCCAATTAAAATTTCAACGGTTTCTGGAATTCAAAAACATTCGTAAAAAATTATCATCACGTAAAACGTGCACTAACATTTCATTTCTATTGTGATATTTAGTAACAGATGACCGACTGTTCATCAGCATAAGAACCCAGTACATACTGAGCTTCTTCAGTTGTTGACTAGGCTTAGATTACATCCTTATACACAGTTATTCCAGTCGGTCAATATGTTCCGAATAAAGTCCTTTTATATAGCGTGCTCTTTGCCAGCCTTAATTGCATCATTACTGTGTTCTCTTTCTGATTATTGTGAAAAGAAACTAGAAAGATACATAGAATACGATAATGCTGTCATAGCGAATTCCTCTTACATCAGAGAAGAAATTCTGGACGTAAATCTGGAATCGTGTGCACAGAAATGTCTTACCTATCGCTGTGCGTGTTCAGCAATTTTACATAACAGACGGATGCGATCCTGTAAACTATTGAGTGCCAGGTTGAATCTCCAGTCTATTTCACCTGGTCCCCGTGTGGAGGGCTGGCAATATTACACCACTCCAAAAGGTAAAAGTTAAAAATATTTATATAATATGAATTTATTATAATTTATTTCTTTAACATAGATTTAACATAGATGAACATTTTTGTAGTGATCTAGTTCATGAGCTAGATCAATCTTTGGAATTATAGGACCACACGTAGTTGAATTCAAAATGAAATAAAGAGAAAAGACAAAGTGTCATGAAGATTGTATAAAGCACATTCTACAACTCTGAAACTAACATGACTGCCCTAAGTGAAGAAAAATCAATGTAGATAGCACAAAGACATTCACTTTTAGGAGACCCTCTTCCGCTCAACCCGGGGTTGAACTCTCGACCTACGGAATCTGCCTCCTAGCAGTACAGCAACATCGCGCTAGAACGCTCGGCCATCTAGGCAAGTCAAAAAAACTAGCTTTCAATACCGATGGAATTCTCGCGGCACATAAACTTGCAAAAAATTTGAGAACCACAATAGGAAGCCAAGAATATGTGCATTTTTACAAAAGGGGTGATGAACTTGTCAGAAAACCTCCTCAAACTGCCTTCATTTAACTTGTCAGAAAACCTCTTCAAACTTCCTTCATTTAACTTGTCAGAAAACCTCCTCAAACTTCCTCCGTTTAACTTGTAAGAAAACCTCCTTCTTTCGTTTAACTTGTCAGAAAACCTTATCAAACTTCCTTCATAAAGTTATCAGAAAATTTAGTTTGATAAATTTACTGCAGATAGATGCCACCTTCCCGCCAATCAATTCTCTTTATTCTCCCTAGAAGCATTCTTCATATTTTAATCTGCTTTATGAAAACAACAAAAAGCAAAATTATCTCCTTTTGTTCATAAATAATTAAACAAGGAACACTATCATCACAAGAAAGACACAAGGTTATCTGTTTTATCTTATGGAGTTTGTTTTATAAAAAAAAAAAAATCAATTTCGTTACAACGTGTATTGGTAGCGATCCTTTAATAAAACTAATGTTCAGATAACTGTATCTCTCACTTCCATTCTCAATGACCATGTAGTGTAGAGCAGCGTCGCGAGAATTCCATCGGCATCAAAGCAAGTTGCCTAGATAGCCGAGCGATCTAGCGCGCTGTTCCTGTACTGCATTCCGTAGGTTGAGAGTTGAAAACCGGGCTGGGGCGGAAGTGGGAAGTGGGTATACTTATAAAAGCGAATTTCTTTGTGCTTTATATATATATACGAGGGTTGTTAGAAAAGTTCGCGGACACATTGATTTACGGAAAATCTATTGTTTACTGTGAAGTATGACTTATGCCTGATTAAATTCCTATCTTTTGTTTATTAGTATGAAAAAAAATCAGGTCCATTTACTAAAATTTTGAAAATTTACAACAATTTTTACTATGCGGTCATAGGATTCACGGAGCAATCCCTTGACGTTAAGTGACGAGAGAATCAGATTTCAAACCCGTTAAGCTTTTTCATAGTTCTAAATATCTTTCATTTCTTTCGAATTTTCTTGTCTTTTTTCTTCTTAAAAGTTAAATATCTATATCAAGACATGTTACTTTTCCTCTATAATGTATTTTGTGCTGTTTCGGATATTAGTGAGATCTTAAAATAATAGTCTACGCAGTTAGGAGATCAGGTATGGAAACAATGCACATTCCATAGCCGCAACGTCCATGCGATAAGTGGGGTATTGAGGTATCGATGGAGTTGATCATTGAAAATGTTAATCCTTCCATTCTTACAAAGCTACTACATTTTGAATACTTTTGTCCTTTGTACGTGTAGGCAATTTCCAGCAACATCAAGAAGCATTTTAGTTTATTTTAGACATTTTCCTGTCTGCACGCATAAATTTTAGTAGCTCGGTGCTCCATGACGTTCCATAACGTTCCCATTCTTGGCTTTGTTTTTACGCGTTGATTATTTATAAATGGCTATAAAACAGTCATACACCCTCCAATTTAATTCAAAATTTTGGCAAGTGACGTTTCATGATTACTGTAGCGACAGGTAAAATATAATTCTTTCTGCGCTACAACTGTGCAATTTTTTATTTCAATAAAAAGTCTATGTAATGTAAACATGCGAAAAAGTAGCATGCTCTGTGAAGCATGTTTTATCAAAATGATATAGCTATATATTTTTAATGATCACAGGAAAACACCAAATCTTTTTATATTTATTGGAAAATAGGTAAAGTTTTTACCTGGAGAGTTTAACCGGTTTCATGGAAATAGCGCGCTCACAATTGAACATATATATATATATATATATATATATATATATATATATATATATATATATATATATATATATATATATATATATATATATATATACGTTTATTTAATAGCTTTTTGAACATGTAAATGTGATCATGTAAAAAGTAAATGATTTTGCATACATTTTTTCACCTGTGAAATGAATAAGGAATCGTAATTTTATTTCCTAAAGCAAATAAAAAGTCTGCTCTTTTCCTAGAGTAAAATAGTATTCCTTAGTATTCCTAGTATCTCATTATGCAAGCTCAATTCATCCAATTTAGCTGAATTGTTGTTTTAGTAATCACGTTTTTGCTTCATTTAGCTTATAAATTTAGCCTGACGCCAAAATATATAGTTTCCATTGCAAGCAATCCTACTCTCCGGTCAGATAAATAATTATTCCACAAGTTCGCAAGATACCTACCCGATTGTTTGCAGTTTATGCATACAACCTGAGAATTTCTTCAGCCCATGTTTTCCCAATAAAAAGAGAAAAAAAGGGGGGAAAACTTAATGGTATTTGAAAGTAAAATAACTCACGAACCTTGTCTCATCACACGAAGATTCTTTTTTAAAACACAGATTAAAGGACATTTTCCATAGCACACAATTTTGCAATGCTCAAATTTTTATTAAGGAACAACTTTCAAATCAGCAATTATCCAAAAGCAATCTTATGTTAAAAAAAAATAAATAAAAAATTATGAAAAAAATGAAAAAAAAAAAAAAAAATAAAAGTAATAATAATAATAAAACACACCACAAAATTACTATCGTACTGCACTTTTTGCGAAGAATACTGTCTTGAAGAATACTTTGCAATGGACTTGCCAAAATCGGTACGTTTATGGAATTATGAAGATTTTACTCTGACCTTTTCTAATGTGATTATATATTAAAAAAAAATGGATATATTTCTACATCCACTGAAAATTTTCTCCTTTTTCTCATCCAAACCGAATGGATCAATATCAATTTCTAATCCAGTAAGATCTTTTTAAAGCTATGCGTATGGAAGATTTCTATACGTTGTTTAGAAGTGTCAAAGGTCAACTGTTTCATTGCCCATTAACCAAAACAACGTACGGACTTAACGCACAATATTTTAAAAACTATCACTCACTCTATATGAATAATTTATGTAGATATAAATATAAACAATTAAATGTCATTGTTAATACGGGGATGAACGATTGCTATCAGGATTCCCTCCAAAAATACAATACCTGTTTTTGCAGGTTATGCGGTTTTGTGTGTGTGTGTGTGTGTGTGTGTGTGTGTGTGTGTGTGTGTGTGTGTGTGTGTGTGCAATGTTTGCAACTTGTCATCAGCTTTTTAACAAAAAAGCATTTTATTGTTTAAATAAACTCTATGACTTGTAAATAGGTTGTGAGCCGGGCTGGTTGGAATATAGCACTCACTGCTACTTCATTGGCCAAACAGAGGTCACGTGGATGGAGGCGAAGGTATGAACTCGGTTTCAAACATTGAGGATTCAAGAGAGTAACTGGAAAATAAATGTTTTGATCGAGAATACATGTTGAATATGCATGAAGTAAATTTCTGTTTTAAATACAATGTTTAATTCTGTTTTTATTTTTTAGTAACCGTTCACGGTAGCTCAATCGGTAGAGCGCTCGCTCCGTGATCGGAAGGTCGTGAGTTCGAATCTCGGCCGCAACTGACCTAAGTCGATAAAAATAGGTAGCAATAGTTCCTTCGCCATGCGCTCGGCACTTTCAAGTGAAAGTTGTGGGTCCTTCGGATGAGACCTTAAAAACCTAGGCCCCGTTTCACGGCAGGCTTTGGCACGATAAAGATCCCCCATTGCTCAATGGCCCTGAGTGCCGAGTAAAGGTCAAAATTTGAAGCCCTTCACCGGTATATGGTGACGTCTCTATATGAGTGAAACATTCTCGAATGGGACGTAAAACAACATACATACAATCAATCAATCAATATTTCTTAGTATGAAGAAAGAGAATAAGCATGATAAGTTAAAGAGTTTTTGAATGAGTCATTCTAACAGCTTCTACAGTTAAACTCTTCAATTTGAGCGTGAATATCACGCTGCACTTGCTCGGCGTTCAACGTTTGTGACGTTAGACTTAAAAAATCATTACATTATCTTTTGACCTTTCCGTCCGTCTTATGCTGTTTTGAATTCCGAAAATACACGTTAAATGTAAATATACTTAAAAAATTATAAATTTTATATTTTAAGAAAACCATAATTTGGTTTCATGCATAAAACTAATAAATGTTTTACAAAGAGAAAATTTCTTTAAAGTGAAATTCAATTTCCAGTCTGAATGTGAAGCAAGATGTTCCCATCTGGTGGAAATACAAACTAAAGAAGAATCTGATTGGCTGGCTGAGACATTTGTCTTCAAAGGTAGGTGCCTTGTTACAAAAGAATAATCTGATTTCCTGGCTGGGACGTATTCGTTTAACGGTAAGTCATATGTTACCTAAGGAGAATCTGTTTTACTGAGTAAAAAAATCCATTAACAATAGAAATATGTGAAGAGGGCATAAAACACGGACCTCTGGAAATTCCAGAAGTGGAAAGAGGAGTACATTCCCTGTTGACCGGACGAACCCAATCTTTATCAAAGATTAAAATTAAATCTGCCTTTTGATATTTTAAGTCCCTTCCTGAAGATACAAGATTTATTTGAACTAGTGTTAACTGACTTGGAAAATAAGATGCATGAAATATATGGAGATAACGAACAATATTCAAGATTCAATATTCTATTAAACAATACAAAATTTTGAAGCAAAGCAAACACGGACCTCTAAAACATCAGAGGTGGGATCAAGTGCCATGGGGGAGTGAGCATCCCCTGCTGACCGGTCACACCCGCCGTGTACTCACATTTAGTGAACGTGAAAACATCACCATTAAGGTAGGTCGCGGGTTTACTGCATAAAAATTCTTACGAGAAACCATATCCTGAAAATTTTGTATAATGTTCCTTAGAATTTGCAGCATATTCTCTGAAATTTTTATTAAATTTGCCTACGTGGTTTTAATGCTATATTACTGTAAAACCGGTATAGTTTTTGGTACTATTTTTACACTTTACTATAGAAATATATGGGAAAATGACGTTTTATAAACATTTTTACCGAAAGAATTTCTTTAGAAAAGATCGGATAACTTTTTAAAGACATAAACGAATTACTCAGAAATTTCAAAATATCAGGATGAGGTAAAATTAAAACTATTGAGGCAAAAAAATCAATATGTCTTCTCGCCAGTTTTTTTGCTAAATAATTTTAAAGTTTGCTTTTATATTGCCAATATATTGTTACGGTTCCCTAATTTTTCCCACTACTATGGGAAACACTTTCTGTGGAAATATACAGTACAAGTTAGTAAAACAATACTCCCTGTAACATACTGGACTATAAAACGACGAATAATATGTTTTATTTATTTGTATGTTTATTTCATCATCAATTGTATAGTTACCATGTTCATCATTGGGTCGAGGTCGGTAATTAGCGTTACCCCGAAATTCCTCGACATCTTACATTCCCAAGTCACGCTTTAACTGTTTACGATTGCTTCTGTTTTTGTTTATGAAGTTCATCAGCAATAAGTCCCAAATGTACCAAACAGTAATTATCCGCGCCCTAGGGTGCGTGATTCCTTTCGTCGATCCGATCGGCATGGCAGCATATCAAAGCTTCTTTGCAATAACAAAGATGGCGGGTATTTTAACTTTGTCTTGACGTCACGACAATCGAGCCCGATGCCTATATAAGCCAGCGCAGATCGATCGACTAGTCAGTTTTGTAAGTTGACTTTTACAGCTCACATCTCCAGAATTTCTGGGAGTGAAAGTCAATGGATAACTCATATTGAAAAATAATTCATTTATGGGAGCTGATGAATTTTGAGATAATATTTTATTTTTACTTTTAATAATTATATTGAATTGTTCTGTGGGAGAAAATTATTGAGAGGTGAAATAACTCTCCCATAACTATCTATTGTATTGTGAAGGACTCCCAGTATTTTGGGAAATACTTTTATACTTTCGTAAATTTATTTATAATTCCATAAAACTAAAATTCTCCCATTTGAGAATATTTTATTCCCACTTCTAGTTAGGAGAGAAATAATATTTCTACGGGAGAAAGAAATAGGGATAATCATTCAAAGAGATTATGCAAATTAAATACAACAAGCAATAATAAATTTTTTATATATTTTAATCCTGACTTAGAGTTCTTTTGTCCAATATACAGACTTGGGAGACCCACAAGTTGCATAATGGAAAAAATCCCTGAACGGTAACATTGGTGTCAGAAGTGGGATTCTTCAATTTTTTTTCCCATTTATCTGATTGGACAAAAGACAATTATTATATAAACAAATTCTTTGTAACATAAAGTAAAATAATACTCCCAAAAGAAATTCTTAAAAATGTCACGGGAGAATAGTCAGTTTTTTAATCCAAGATCCCAGGCAGAAGTAGAAAATTTATCCCATGAAGAGCTCTTTCAAAATGAATCTTCACCAAAACAAACATCAGCTCCCAAGGGTTCTGAAAATATAAATGAATCATTGTTAAAAGCAGTTGAAAATACAAATAGGGGTGTTCTATGCATGAAGCAAGATTTTGAAGAACAATTATCACAAATGAGACAGGAGTCCCATCAATTACATGGGAGGTTATCATCACTTGAAAATCCTGGGAAAGCTATTGGTCTGCATAAATATGGGAACTGTTCTGAAAATCCCAGTCAATCACCATTTCTAGGGGCTGGGGAGAGATTTGAATCTTTCAGAAACCCAATGTCCCCAAATTCAAGAGTGAACAGAAATGACAATAGCCTACATTCTCCCAATCAAGTGAAACCAACAGTCTCAATAAAACCACAAACATATGATGGGGTAGAAGATTTTGAAGATTATTTAGCCCAATTTCAAGTTTTAGTAGAGTTGCATGGTTGGGATTACAGAACAAAGTCTTTGTATCTCGCCAGTAGTTTAACTGGGAATGCTAGGGCAATTCTAGGGGAGCTTAATGAAGCTCAGATTAGGGATTTTGACTCCCTTGTTAAAGTACTCAGTATGCGTTTTGGATCAGTAGAAAGGTCAGAGATGTATCGGGCAAGACTGAAAAATAGGATTAAGGGAGAAAATGAGTCCCTATCAGAATTAGCTCAGTCAATCAAGAAATTAATCAGACAATCCTACCCGACTGCTGATCCTAACCTTACAAACATTTTAGCTCTAGATCATTTTATTGATGCTCTCCCAGACCCAGATATGCGCCTCAGAATTCGGGAGGCGAGAGCTAAAGATATTGGGGAGGCTGAAATTTAAGCAATTAGGTTAGAGACGCATAAAATGGCAAATGCCCAAAGAGGAAAGCCAGTATATGCTGTAAATTCAAACACAGACTCTCAAAAACCTCCTGTCAATAAAAATGAAGATTTAATTCTTTCTTTGCTAAAAGACATAAAAGATTCTTTGTCAGGTTTGAAAAATTCTGATCCGAAGTCCCAAAATTATGGGAGGTCATGGGAAAACAGATTTTCAAACAATAGGCCCAGACAGTTCAACAACTGGGAAAATGACAAATATGGGTCAAGAAATAGTTATGGAAATAGAAGTAATCAGGGGAATCAATACTCCCAAAAGTCATCCCCTCACAGAAATGATTTTGATTTTCAAAGACAGGGAAACCATCAAACGTCGAATTCATGGGGCGGAAATCGGCGAGAATTGGGAACAAGTCCCAGAATAAACCATTAAGTAAGTGTACGGGGGTTGATCCGGTATCAAATAAGACTACGAAAAATCAGAATTTAGAGATAGGGAGTAAACCTCAAAATGAACAAAGTCCCAAAAGTATTTTAGTGGGAGATGTTCAAGGAAATGAGGGAATTTTTATAGCTGGGAAAATAGAAAATATTCAAACAACAATATTAGTAGATACCGGATCAAGTGTGACTATTATAAGGCCCAAACTGTTTGATAAGATACAATTAGTAGAAAAATCAAGTGTTAAACCTTGTAGTGTGAAATTAAGATCAGCAAACGGAGATGACATCCCAGTTGTGGGAGAGTGTCTCCTTAAATTTAGCCTTAGAGATATTGAAGTTTCCCATACTGTTATCATTGCAAATATTGAAAACAAATGTATTTTGGGAGTAGATTTTATGAAGAAGTTTTCATGTAAGATTTGTTTGAAGAAAATGAAATTTGAAATTCAGGGAGAAGAAACCCCTTGTTTTAGTGATGAAAATAGTGTAGTTGATTGTTGTAGGGTTCATTTGATAGAAGATTTAGTGATTCCCCCAAACTGTGAATTTATTGCCCCTGCTAGGATAGAAAGTCCCAATTTTCAGCGGGGTGCTGCCATAGTGGAACCCTCAGAAAATTTTATGGGAAAACATGAAGTATTGATTTCAAAAACTTTGGTAGAAGTAGATGGGGAAAATGTCCCAGTGCGTTATTTGAATTTAGGTGACAAAAGTTTAAAGTTACACAAAGGTAGCGAAGTAGCCTCAATAGAGAGGGTTGAAGATATTGGGAATGGGGAAGTTGTGAAAAATGTAAGGGCTTATTGTAATGGGAATGATACCCATATGCCCAATCATTTACAACAAATTTTAGATAGGGTTCATCCTAGTATTAGCTCTGAAGAGAAACAGAGACTAGCAAATCTTTTAAGGGAATTTGAAACAAGTTTCTCCCTTTCATCATCCGACATGGGTTCAACAGATTTAGTAGAGCATAGAATAAATATGGGAAATGCACTCCAGATTAAGCAACCTCCTAGACGTATTCCCTTAGCTAAAATGGCTGAAGCTAAGAAGGAAATAAATGACATGTTAGATAGGGGGATGATAGAGACATCAGACAGTCCATGGAGTTCTCCCATAGGCCTTGTTAAGAAAAAGGATGGGGCAATCCGGTTCTGTATAGACTATAGAAAGTTAAATGATGTCACTATTAAGGATAGTTACCCCATTCCAAGAATTGATACAACATTAGATGCCTTGTCAGGTTCGAAATTATTTTCTACCATAGATCTTAAGAGTGGGTATTGGCAGGTTAAAATGTCACCTGAAGATAAACCCAAAACAGCTTTTTCAATACCAGGGGGAGGACATTGGCAATTTTTAAACATGCCATTTGGTTTATGCAATGCAGGAGCAACTTTTGAAAGACTAATGGAAAGGGTCTTATCAAATCTTTCATGGAAGATATGTCTTGTTTATTTAGATGACATAATAATATTGTCTAAAACTTTTGAAGAACATATTGACAATTTAAGACAAGTTTTTGGGCGACTGAGGGAGGCTAATTTAAAAATGAACCCAAAGAAATGTGTTCTCTTGCAAAAAGAAGTTCCCTTTCTGGGA